CTAAACCCTAAACCCTTGTCATCCCTGCAGGCATTACAGTGGATTCTGAAGCATCCTCGAGAAAATGACCCGGAACCAAATGATTGTGAACTCTTGTTCACAAATTTTGGCCGAGCAGCCCGACATCGCAGCACGCAGCTCGCCATCGATCGTCATATGGCTCTCAACAATTCTGAGATACAGCCTAAACCTAGGCCTTGCAGTGGCAGCTCATAAGTAAGCTCAGCTCATATCAACCGAGGCTGTGTTCTGGAAGTGATGAATTTATCCGGATTCATGGCTGGAGCCCTTTCGCTGGGATGAGGGGCAACTACTGCCCCTGGCGAATCTTGCCAAAACTTCAGTGTCTGCTTCACCCCCACACATCTAAACAAAGCCTAAACCTTCAACAGACCCTATAAACCCTAGTTGAACCCAAATCATTCTTCATGGTTCGGGTACTTCAGATGCACAGGATACCTCGGATCGCCTTGCAGTAGGCTTTCTATGAACCAATGCATCCAAAAGATCATGTACTTAAGGAGCTGCTGCCCTCATAATCTTGTGGGTACAGACACATAGTCAGCTTTCAGAGCCTCATTAGGGCAGGGCTTCCTTTCGGCCATGTCCTCGATGCCCCAGTAATGTTGGTGCCCTATAAGGTATCCTGCCCGACGTCATGCACATCATCCACTTAGCTTGTCTTGGAGATGTGCTGACATCCATGCTCTTGGACCTCTCGGACAATCAGTTCCCCTGGCCGGGATCGTCCCGGGACACACGCCTTGAACATGGATGGAAAAGTTACAAGGGCTATTGCCAACGATGGGGGATCGAGGACAGGGCCGAACGGAGACTCTTCACGAATGAGGTTCTGAAAGCTGACTTCGTGACCGTGTCGCAGAAGATCATGCGGGCTGCTGCAGCCAAGTACATGGTTTTTTGGTTACACTGGCTGATGGAAGGCCTGCTGCAGGGCGATCCGGAAAAGCCTGAGCATCTCAAGTGCCTGATCCAGCACGGGAGTAGTTTGGGTTTAACTTTTTGCTTTACAGAATCATTAAATAAAGCCTATTATATAGAGTGTATAGGTAAACTGTAGTTTTTTGGTTCTATATAATCCCTATGCCCTCCCCCACGGATGCCGGAATAGTAACTTATTTTTTTTCACCTTGAATTATCCTGACCGAATTCAAAACTTAAATCGGAGGCTCATTCTTGGTGTCGTGACTGGTCTCATGCACTTCGAGCAAACTCAGATGGAGAATGGCCGCTACTTCACGGAAGAGCAGTGCCGCTTTTGCGAGTCTGCTTACTATCTGTATCGAGCCTCTTATGATCGACTGGCTTCAATGGCCTTGGCTCAGGGAATTCCTCGCTGGAAGGTCAGGCCCAAGCAGCATATGCTTGAGCACGAAGTGATCGATTTTATGTGCGAGTACAGACTGAATCCTCGCTACAGTGCGAACTACATGGGGGAGGATGCAGTGAGGCGGGTGAAGCAGCTGGCAGTCGCCAGCCATCCGAATCATGTCAGCCGGCACGTGCTATCGAAATGGTCTTTGCAGTTCTCACTGCCGTATCGCCGTGCATGAGCAGGGAGGAAAAGGCGATCTTCAGTTTCAGCCCCCAATCAACCCAGGGATCCTCGAACAAAACAATCCGAATAGAACAAACCAACAAAGGTACACATATATATGTGTATATATATATACAGACATGTATAAACATTTATTTTTTTATTCTTTTCTCTATGTGTGTGTATATATATATATAGAGTAACAATAACAGAAATAATTTCAGCAATAATAATAATATTGGCTACAATAATAACGAATAATACTAATATATAGGAAGAGTCGGGGACAAAGATCTGCTTTAAGAACCCTAACCAAAACAAAACACCCACGACCGATCCCTAATTATCAGGGTTTGCAATGTTGAACAAGGCCGGATTTAAGATAAATCAGGAGTTTGAAGACAAACCACACGGAGACAGAGAGAGATATCGAGTGTCTCGAATTTGGCTCAACCAGACCCTGTCGCAACAAAGGCCCCGCATTCGTCACTATAGGGCGAACTGTCGCTATAACATGTGTCGTCGCTATATATGGTATCGAACGGCTCGTGCTGGTAAGGGGTTCGTATCAAGGGTTGGGTTAAAGGTTTAGGGTTTTGGGGTTCAGGGCTTAAGGTTTTGGGGTTAAAACCCTTCGGAAGCGTGGGCTTCGGGAGGACAGGTGCCCCCTTTTAGCAAGGGAATCCTTTGGGCTGCGAAAGGGTTGATAGCGGGCGTCTAGGGTTTAGAGCTTCAGGTTTAGAGTGCAAGGTTCGGGGTTTAGGGTTTAGAATTTAGGGGTTTAGGGGTTTCGGGTTTAGAGTTTAGGGCTTGGGGCTTAGAGTTTCGGCTTGAGGGGTCAGGGTTTAGTGCCTCTTCAGCTTGCTTCTGGCAGCAGCACGGTGCCCGTGGCATCCGTCGTGGAAACCCACCCCTGAGCAGCCGCCCCCATGTCTTGCAAGCATGCAGGCGCACGACTCCAATTAATATGTCTCAACCGTCTGGAGGTCGTGTGATGGAACATATCAAAACAGGCAAGTTACTGAGATTAGCCTCAGGCATGAAAAGTAATAACGATCGATGTGGGGTACCAAACGTCTGGCGAGTGCATGTTCGTGCTCGCCAGGGGAAAGAGCCAAAGATCTGTCCTTTTGCGAGTAGGGCTCGCGGCTTTTCAGGGTAGCAGACACCTCCTCCTCCTCCTCCTCCTCCTCTACTTCTTCCTCAAGTCCTAGTACACTAAACTGCAGCATACTTTACTTCTCGCAAGTGCTAATGCAGCGGCTAACCAGTGACAGAAGCTGGCTCAGACCTTGTCCCTAAACCTATAATCTCTTGACCTAAACCCTACCACCCTACAGTCGAAAACGCTAACCCCTAGACCCGAAAAGCCCTGCCCTCAACCACCCGAATAGCCTCTAGACCCTAAACCCTCAGCCCTCAAGCCCAAAGCAGCCTGCATGGCACTGCAGACACCGGGGCGGTTGAAGACTGTAGAGTGCCCAAACCCTAAACCCTAAACCGCCTGTGTAAATGGAGGATCACGTCTCCAAGTAAGTTGGTTGGTTGTGAGATGCGATAACTACCTGTAGCCGAAAAGACCTACTTCTTGGGGCTCCTTATTATGGTTTCTATATACTCTTCCCTACAAAGGTAGGTTTTTTCGGCTACAGGTAGGGCTTAGGGCTGTGAATTTGGGTTTCGGGGGTTGAGGGTTTAGGGCGTAAGTAGAGCTTAACGTTAGTCAGTTGGTAAGTCGGGCCTATAGGCAGTCACTTGGTACGTCGCTGAATCGATGAATCGAAAAAGGCCGAACGAGCCTAGTGTGGACTCCAACTACCAAGACGGTTAGGGTTTAGGGCCTTTGGGTTTAGGGTGTAGGGTTCAGGCTTTGGGGTTTTTGGGTTTAGGGTTTAGGAGTATAGGGGTTTAGGGGTTTAGGGTTTATAGGGGTTTTGGGGTTTAGGAGTTTAGGGGTTTGGGGTTTATAGGAGTTTAGGGGTTTAGGGCTTTAGCGCTTTTGAGGTTTAGGGTTTGGGGATCCTCGAACTACCGGTCAGCTGCCAAAGCGAAAGCAGCGACCGCTCTGATTCCGGGCAGACGGAGCTTCCACGGTGGTCATCGGATGATGTCGTAAGCCGTCAAGGTCCTTTTGCGAGTAGGGCTCGCGGCTTTTCAGGGTAGCAGGCACCTCCTCCTCCTCCTCTACTTCTTCCTCAAGTCCTAGTACACTAAACTGCAGCATACTTTACTTCTCGCAAGTGCTTCTGCAGCAACTAACCAGTGACAGAAGCAGCCCTAAAGCCCAAAGCATGATCTGCGATTCTTATTGCAAGTCTGGTTTCTGCAGGGCTGTAGGGACCAAGGGATTTAATTAGTAGCAGAGAACGGCTAAACAGCTTCCGGCCAGGTTCAGGGTAGTCCTATACTCCAAACCCAAGGCGCTTCAACCCGAAATCAGTCCCACGATTTCTTCCATCTGCAAGCTCATACCCGGGAGCAGTAGGGAGCAGCCAATGTCAAGGGCGCTGGAATCCGAGCTAGGAATCGCTATAGTGATTCCCGAAAAATTGGAACAGGGGGTTAGGAGGATTAGTGCTAGGATGCCTGATACTTTATTTTAAGGGCATGAGGAGAATGATGTTCCAACTTTCTGGCTTCTACTCTATACGGTTGAGGGTTTGGGGTTTTGGGCTAGTTCTTGTCCATGCTGTTATCAGCAACGTTCACAGGACTGGCATGCTGCCGGTGCCGGTAGTTTGTGGCCATCATGTGGTTAGTTCTCTAAAGTGGGGTCCCTTGTTAGGTCCCCAATATGGTACGGCACCCTTATAAAAAGGACCCTAAAAGGGGCCCTAGTTTAGAGAACTACCCATGTGTCCCCCGACACTCAGCTTAATGTAGAGCCTGTAGGGATTCTGAATGATTGACAGTATTCGCGTATATAGTCCCTATGTGAGGCGTGGGCTTTGTATTAGCGCTTTGGTGAGGCTGCATGTATGTGTATATATATACATACATACATACATACATACATACATACATACACACATACATACATACATACATACATACATACATACATACATACATACATACATAGAGAGAGAGAGAGAGTTCCTTTCGAAATTGGGCTCTTGTTTATACTTCATCTGAGTATTGTTTTGACACTAAAACCCTAGACTTTTGGGTTTGAGGCTGAGGGTTTTACCCCTGAGTCGATTAAACCCACAAACCCTAAATCGAAGAACCCTAAACACTGAAAAAGCCCTGAAATCCCAGACGCTTAAACCCTGAACCCTTCCTCTTCAAGGCCCTTAGGGGAGTTTAGGGTGTAGGGCTTAGGGTCCACGCTTGGTACGTTAGGGCCAATGTATATATATATATATATACACATGCATACATATAGGTGCATGAACCCGTAGGGAAAAAGTTGTTCAGCCCGTTTGAGCCCTTAATCCGGGGGACCGGGGACTTGTCTCTCCTACTCCAACAGTTTAGGGTTTAGGGCCATATAGGGGTCACAAAGTTTCGAGCATGGTTCCTTAAACGGCGAAGAGGTTCCTCCAAGGGTTCGATAAAGGTAACTGTAAAATCGATAGAGACTGGAATATTCGACGAGGGTTCTATTTGGGTGCTAGAGGGGTTTAGGGGTATAGTATGAGACGGGGTTGCGGGGTGAGTGGTCCGAATATTGAATTAGCGACCCTATGGGGACACTCATAGTTATGGTGCCGCTACCTGTATTATCCCCTGGCCTAGGAAGTCTAGGATGCAGATGCGTTCAGGCTTGGGTAGAGGTTTTTGCTTTTTGTTGAGCTGTTGGGGTGTGGAACGTGTCATAGCCATGTACCGTGGGTTTCGGTTTCAGGGGATGGGTTTTTGATGCAAAGACCAAAAACCTGTACTTGTAGGAGGGATTGCAGCAAGAAGTTTATTCTCGTGGCAAAAACAGTGCATCTGTTTTCAGTGATGATCCTTGAAGACCCGGGCACGGCTCGGATTCCAGACCTCCGTCAATGCCAGCAGTGCCCTGTGCCCAACGGGCCCAGATGTTGGATGCTGGAAGCATACAGGACTTTCGGGGCTCGGGGCTTTGGATTTTTGAAGTCTTGCAGCCAAGGGTTTTGAAGCTCTGCCTTCAGGGCTATTGGAAACCTTGTTGGCCAGTTTGGATTTAAAGCGCGAAGAGATGTAGCCGCAGGTAAACCTCAAAGTGCCAAAACCCTACGTCCCCCAAAAAACCCCAAAACCCCCAAACCCCCAAGCCTTCAGCCCTGAAACACAGGCTGAAAGGATTGAAGCCTGAACCCCACAAAGGCTTCAAATTTCAAGCCTGAGTCGTGAAGTTAGTTGCTGCAGCGCGCTTGGAGCATGGGCATGTGTACCATAGCCCAGGTTCCCCATGAGGTGCCCATCTTCCTTGTTTTTGCCTTGAGGGTTTAAAGTTCGTGGTTTGCTGGGGCTTTATGTTGACACTCTTAGTTAGTCCGAGGGTCTGAGTAGTGGGACCCCCCCCCCCCCCCCCCCCCCCCC